TAATAAAACCATCCTGTTAACCATGTTCTATTGACTGCTCTATCCAGGAATTTCTTTAATTTTGCATAAGTAAATCAATGTAGAATATTTATATCATATTGTAGTGACATATACTGTTCTGAAAGGAAATACGATGCATTTAATGCATTACATTGTACAGTATAATAATAATATTTACCCAAAACATGCCATTCAGATGTACGACAGTAAAGAACACACAATGACATGTGTAACCTGTATCCATTTGTAAAATTTATCTCCAACTACTTGCATATAACAAGGTAGAGAATGTGTGGCTTCCAAATGTAGTCAGCTTGCAACTACAGTTATCCCTCAGTTCTAGTGTTCTGGCTAGGGCTGATGGGAACTTGCAGTACCATGGCATCAGTTACGCAGAAGATTTCTGTATAAGCTTTTACAATAATATTAGCTGAACAGATAAAACAGTTGTGATAGCTTTCTTTCAGCATTTTAAGTGTCATCAGATTCACAGTTGCCTACTACAAGACTGCAGTAGTGTGGTCTTCCAGATATGTGGTCTTCCAGATGCTGATGAATTCAGAATCATAGAGTTATAGCTCTGAAGTGCATCCCCAAAGATCATTGGATCCAACCAACAGACAAGGCAGGACATCCACAACTAAAACATCCCCGACAGAACCCAACTTCAGTTCAAAAGCTTCTGCTGAAGGAAAGTTCACATCCTTCTTCAACAGTCCATTGTGGAACAGCTCTTACTGGCAGCAAGTTCTTCCAAATGTTTAAGAGTCTCCTTTCTTATAATTCCCTTCAGTTCCCACCATCTGGAGCTACATAAAACAAGCTTGCTCTATGTTCCACATGACAACCATTCAAATATTTAAAGATACCTATCATATCTCATTGTCTGGATAGCTCCGCAAGTACAGTCAGGAGTTTGATTTCCCATTATGCCTTCCAGAAGAAGAGACAGCCTGGGCAGGCTGCACAGTCCCAGGATGCTCTCAGAGAAAGGGAATGGTAAACCACTTTTGAGTTTACCTAGGAAACCCTAGGAACGGGCACTATAAATCAGAATTGACTCAATGTGTCACATTATTATTATCACATCTCTTGTCAATGTCTTCCCCAGGCTAAATATCTCAAACTTCCTCAACTGTTCTTGATAGGGGCTGGTTTCCATATTTTATACCACCTTGATCACCCTCCTCTGGACATGTTCCAGCCTGTCAATAACCTTTTTAAATTGTGAAGGACACCATAGAACTGCTTGGATAGCTCAATGGTTGAGATAAATGGCTACAGGATCAGAGGTTGAGAGTTCGTTTCCCCACTGTGTCTCCATAACAAGGGCCAAATTCGATAATCCATAGGGTCCCTTCCAGCCCTGCCTGCCTGCCATCTAACCAAATCATTTGGGACTGCGACTGCAATCTCAACCATTTCCTGGTGCTCATTGACAATAGCTGGATTACTCTCCCTTGCTGTAGTTTATGGCTATCATCCTTTGCACCCACAAAATCAAGTATTCCCATTAATGCTGCAGTTCTCTCAGCTATTATCTTGACTACTGAGTTGTTTAGATTTTGTTTTCTGAAATGTGTATCTTGCCTAGAAAAAGAGGCACTATTTTTCCAACAGACAAGGTGCTCAAGACAGTTGAAGAGCCACTTCTTCTTTTTTTCACTAGTAGGAATGCTGTGCCATTCTAAAGATATATAATGCTATCCTAAATACGCAAATATGTGCCCTTGAGAACAGCAACACCCATTAGAGAAACAGGAAAGGGAGACAGATAGGCTGATCATAAGAATATTAGTCTAATAGTAGATGCAGGAGGACGTGGAGGTCAGAGAGTAAAAAGGGATAGACAAACCTTCCTTGGAATCTATTCCCAAATCTTCTCTCCCATCATTTGGGCTGCATAGGTATTAGAAAGCGATGCCCGGAAGACACCATGCCAAAAGTTCAGTCCATGTTACTAAGACACAGTACAGCTGGCTTTTGTCCTTAAATTGCCATCCAAAAGTACTTACGTCATTATTTCAGTCAAAGTAGATTATACTGGACTAATTAGATTGCTAAAGAATAACTGTAGTTAAGTAGATCTAGAAAATGAGAATGCCAGAAAGATGAGATGCCAAAAGATGAACAAATGGGTCCAAGATCAAATCAAACCTGAACTATCTCTGGAGTAAAAAAAATAAGGCTGTCCTACTTTATGCACATCATGAGAAGGCAGGATTCTCTGGAAAAGAAGCAGCAAAGGAAGAAGACCAAATATGGGATGGGCTGACTCCCTCAAGGAAGCCTCAGGCTTGAGTTTACATAGGGTTACTGTAAGTGGGAGGGAACATAAGAATAACAAAAGCAGATTTAATCTAATTAATTTTAAACAAGAAGCTTCATATATAAGCACATTATCAGAGTTTGGAACATAATTTTAAAAAGCATGTTGCTAATTTCTTATTAAGTACTTGTTACACAAAAAGTAACATGTGAATTGCATTTTACTAATGTGTTCTGTAATTTTTAACATGTAAAAAAAAATTAACTATATAAACTGAAAAATTTTCAAAAATTCCTCACAAAGATCCCTTTGCTATATTTTAAAAATAACAATTGCATTTGTTATGTAAACTTAAAGACTAAAAATGTTACAGATTCCTGTTAGTTTGCAAAAGGATCATTCTGCTCTCATTACTTCCTCTAGTCTAGGTAATGTGCTATAAGTAATATTGTTCCTTGTATCCAAGCTTTGCACATCATTTATTAAAGTAGAAGAGATGCAAGATAGTTAAGAATTTGAATCAATATAGACAAAAATGCACAAAGTTCTACTTTTGGAAAAGCTTCTGTCAGCAGGGCTAGGAGAAGAGACATTAATCTTCCTCTGTTGTAACCCCAAGTGTATCCTCATAATATAGTATTGTGTGTTGAGGGCCCAGATCTGCAACAGTAGCCGGGGAAGAGGAGAAAATCTTATTGCACCAGCAGATTTCCATTGACACAACATCTATGTACGTACATGGTTATGCTATCCTTTGAAGTGCTGCATCTGTTTCATTTATTTGGCCAAACAGTTTATATCAAATGCTTTTCCTTAGTAGAATAAAATAAATTATAACCTACTTGGATATTATTACATTTCTCTTACTTGACTTTTGACATCTTTTCTGATCCCTCATTTTTGGATCATTAATATAAAGAAGAATTATATTTTCTTTCTTCTCATCACAAGCAATGCTAAGATCAGAAGCTCCTTGGAACAGATATGAGATGTAGTGCTATTTGCCCCCACTCCTGATTGCAAAAGATATGCAGTGTTACTGGAAAAATTGCCTTAAAGGGTATTTAATTTTGGCATTAAATATGAACAACAGGTATGTTAGAACAGTGGTTCTTAACCTTTGTTACTCAGATGCTTTTGAACTGCAACTCCCAGAAACCCCAGTCAGCACAGCAGGTGGTGAAGGCTTCTGGGAGTTGCAGTCCAAAACCCCCGAGTAACCCAAGGTTAAGAACCAGTGTGTTAGTACGATGGTTCTCAGGATATTATTGGACTACAATTCCCAGAATCCCTGACCATGCTGGCTGAGTTTTTTCCAGACTTAGCATTTCATTTCATTGCACCCACTTGTGAGTGCAATGACAAATAAATTTCGTATGTCTTATGTCTTATGTCAACTACACTTAGGACCCCAAGCTGGAGAATTAGTTAAGAGTCCATTGAACCAAGAAATTATTTTTTAAGATTTTTTATCCAACAGGAGATACTATAGCCTATTCAGGTATTCATTCTGAATACAGCAAGCTAAAAAAAGCAAGTTTTTGGCCACCCACCGAGTTTTCTGTTCTACATCTCAGTGCTTGCCAGCACTGCTTCCCTCAGTTCAGACCTTGGGGAGTTGAATGGCAAGGTCTGAAAAGTTCTGTTTGTATTTGCTTGAACTGAGTGGAACTCATCATGCTATCATAGTCCCTAACTGTACTGGAGATCAGTACTCTTGATCAGGTAAATACAGTAATTCTATTCCAGACCTTGCTTGTTGATGCATAAGGCAAAGCTTGAACTGGTGGACTTAGGCTGTACATAAATGCATAGGGTAAGGGCTATATATACAACCTGCATTCTGTTCATGTATTCAGCCTGCCCTGTTGTGGCTGCCATTTTGTACAGGGTTTACCTGGTCAATTTAATATGCATGTTTTGCAAGATTATTGTTATGTGCCATCAAGTCGGAACTGACTTATAATTACCCTAATAGGGCTTTCAAGGTAAGACATTTATGGAGTGATTTTACCAGTTCCATACTCCTAGTAAGTTTCCATGGCAGAGTGTGGAAACTGAACCAAGGCCAGCCTCCTGAGTCCTAGTGCACCACTCTATGCACTACACCACACTGCATACCTTTTGCAAGATTAAGAATCTGCTATTTCCCCTTAAACTTAATGGAAACAAGGTACTAGTGGAGTAGCCATCTGTTTTTCTAAATCATCATGTTGAAATAAAATGGTGTTCTGCCAAAGCAATAAATCTTACATTTATAATTTGTGATAAAGAACTCTTTGTTACTATGTAATCATATGTTTCACAGTGTCCAAGAACAATATATCCACATTGTTTTCTATACAATATTTTTATTCATGGAACTCAAAGCAACATAGTTATTGTCTTCAATTTGCTTGGGAATGCAGTCCATTTTTGGATTTAGCCGTGCAAAATCTATTGGCGATTCTTTTGTCCAGCAGCAGCTTAACCATATGACTCCAGCACATCAGAAGCAGAGATAAGTAACAGTTGTTTTTAAAATCTGCCCTATGCAACAAGTGTTTTTTTCCAGTTTAAGTTAACAAATGCATATAAAATGAGCCAACAGTACTTTTTCTAAATATTCATAGCTGAATCTCACATAAGTGTCATGAAACAACATTAACAAGAAAAGTGACTCTCACAGGCAATGTTTTATATATAAAGTAGAAACCCATTCTATTTAAAGAAAGATGGAAACACAACTGTATTTAAACTATGAAAATAATCTTTATTTTAAAACACTGAATGAATGAAATGTCACATACTGAATGTAACACACAAGTGCACGCACTCACATATACATCTCCTTTGAAACTCTAGTATGAAGTTGCTTCACTGAATTGTAGCTAATTTTTTATCAAACAGTTCCATCTTCAGTCTTTAAAAGAACAGGCATGTGTTATATATCTTTTGACTGATCATCATCTTCAAGCTTCCTGATTTCATTTTTCAAGCAATTTATAGTTTCTCGACTTGCTTTTAACCTTTCTTTAAGTTCAGCTATCTCAAAACTGGTTTTCTTCTTAGCAGCTTCCAGCTTCTCACGAGTTTTCACCTCTACATTGGCAACTGGGAATAAGAAAAATACTTACTGTTTATTAATAAGCCATCATTACTCCACTGTGTATTTGAATATTTAAAAAGAGAAAAGGAATCCAATTTGATCTGCTACATGTCCTCAGTGGATGTTCAGAAGTTATTTAAAAATATTGTTTCCTATCATGCTATTTCTAAAGTAACATTTAAGTCTAGCTGCAACACTGGCACCATATGTTAGGAACATAGAAAATGATGTCATTGAGACTGGGTACAATAGCATTTTGTAATACATTATCTTTCACATGAGAGAGAAATATGCAATATGCTGCCATCATTTTCTTAGGTTCTATTTCAGAATTTCACCGCATTCCAAACCAAACTCTGTAAGTTTACTGCTCTTGATCTGAAATATCTGTAGGAATCAGAATGGCTCTTTGTGTATAAACAATAACAATAGTAAGATAGAAATAAATTTAAAATTTTTAAAAAATAAAAATAAAATTCTATTTTCCCCCACTTCACTTATAATGGCTGCATTCAATACTTACACTCTGTTTCATGCTTATAAGCCCCAAGTGTTAACTGACGGGATGTAGTCAGCAATTGCTGCATCATAGCAGTAGGATCCTGAAAAATCTAATAAAGAAAATGTATTGAATGTCTGTTCTTTGCTCAGATAAGTAGCTTTTGCATAATACTATACTCTCTTACCATCTCATCATAAAATTCTGAAACTACGGTCTTCTTCCCCAACATTGCATTAGTGTCAGATTGAAACAGCTTCAGCAAGTGATACAGGGTTACCTGTGCAAGACAAGAATCTTGTTTACTACATAAATATGTAGACCATTAAACTGTGTAGCAACAAAAACTAAAGATTTTAACTTTAGCATTTCACACCAGTATAACATCTGTAATATTAAAATAACATTTGTCAAGGACAGAATTTATTATGCAGTGGTGCCTCGCTTAACGACCGCACCATACAACGACGAAATCGCATAGCGATCCCTCAATGACGCTTAGATAGGGCGAAACTCGCTTTGCGAAGATCGGTAAGCTTACCGATTTTCGCAAAACGAAGCCCCGACGATCAGCTGTTCGGCGGCCAAAATGGCCACCGGAAGCCCCGAAATGGCCGCGCGCAGCATCTTTGCGCGCTCCCTTCGCTTAACGAGGGCACGAAAATGGCTGCTGGCCATAGGAAGCATCGCTGAACGGTGAGTTTTCGGCCCATTTGGAATGCATTAAACGATGTTTAATGTGTTCCAATGGGTTTTTTTGATCCGTTCAGCGAAGTTTCGCTATAGCGAAGGTTAATCCGGAACGGATTAACCTCGCTATGTGAGGCACCACTGTATCTGGTTATAACGAAATGAATATCCACTGAATTACAGGCCATCTGAAGTGGAATTGTACCAGTGACCTTCATTTTCTGTGCTTGCGCTTGCAATACGAAATATAGTACTTTCTTCATGGAATAAAAAACAAATGCAGATGTACACCCCCAACAAAATCTTAGGCATATTTCCTCAAACATAAGAATCACTATATTACTCCATGGGGATTATTCCCTAACAGGTGTGTACAGAACTGCATGTATGGCTATCTATCAGAACAGGCAAGGTGACATGGATCAACTTCTGCACATGGACAAGGATGCCACACTTTTCTCCAATTGTACTTGATCCAACAAAATGATGCACCCAACCAAGTTTGTCTTCCAAAACTCCACTTAACCTACACTCCTGATACCATGTCACTTTCATAAATCCCTACATGGATGGATCATTAGCAAACACATTGCTTACTTTATAGGTGCAATAGATAGTTTGTTCTATTGCACCTATAGTTTGTTCTTTGTATTGGAAATAATACAGCTGAAGTGGTATCCTGTACTGTCAATCAGTTTCTCTTATTATCTTTAAGCAAGTCCTGCAAGCATTATTTTTGCTCACATATTTTTCCAGTTTTTAAATGCAGTTTTAAATTAGAGAGATTAGTTCATGCTGCTGGGTTCAACTTATTTAAAAACTAACTTGTTTAAATTTTCCAAAACTTTTCTAGAAATAATATATGTATCATCACCACTCAAGCACTCATACTGTGGTGTGGCCTAAAGCACTGAATAGATCAGACCTGGGCAAAGTGCAGCCCGAGGGCCACATGTGGCCCGCGAGCCACTCCTGTCCGGCCCGTGGACAGTTTTGAACATCAAAACAATTTGTAGCTTTTTGTCTAAAGTTGATCAGTTGCTTATCTTTAGCATACTGAAAAAAAACTCTTTAGTATTTGTGAAGATTAACAAGTTTAAAATAAAAACAATCATAACATCACTGTTTCATTTTATTTTTAAGTAAAGTTGGTTCGGCCCCCTAACACAGTTCAGATTTTTAATGTGCCCCCCCTATATAAATTAATTGCCCACCCCTGGGATAGATAATGGGTTGGATTTACAAGGGGCTGAAATCCTGCACAGACAACTGCTGAAGAAGGTTACTTTTAACAATTCTCTTCTTCCTCCATGCCACCACCCACACAATTATAGAAGTCCCCCAACCATTCAAAACAGCTTTCCGGAGGAAGGAAGAGTACACAAAAATCCTTCTGTTCAAGAAACTTTGGCTCAAACTTTGAAGAAAAAATATACTCACATAAGCACAGTATTTAGAAAGCTAAGATTCCTTTTATAAACCAAATAAGCATATGTATACCAGTAGTGACAAACAGGTGAACTAAAACAGGTTCACTGGCTTATTCCTTTACTAGTGCTTTAAAATGAAATTTTTCAATAAGTCCCAAAGCAGCATTACAGAGGAAATCACATTATCACACTCCAAATGATTCTAGCAAAGCTATAAGGGCAGAAAAGCTGCAGCCAATACCAGACAGTGTGGTTTCTTCAGTATAACTCGATATGCAAAGCTGACATTGTGCTGGAAGGAATACTCACAGGTCTTTCATTAGGGTCGATAAAAAATATTTTGATGATAATTTCAAATTCACCCCAGCCTGTTTCAGTTATTTCATATGGAGGTTTAGTTACAACTAAAACAGAAACAGAAAAAGAAAAAATGTAGCCCTTTTAAAGCAATCAAGATGCTGCATCTACTAAAAACATTTAAACCATACCTCTCAATGGATTTCCATAGCTTTCATGTAACTTAAACTGGATTTTCTTTACATATGCAGACATATCCTAGAACAAATATAATGGATAGATACATTTAGTACTATATTCTACACTGTTTAACGGTTCTCGCCTAGTCCCTTAAAGAACAGCCTGCCAGATTTATTTGGAGTGTTTACGATGCTGACTCTTAACATTTGTGTTATCACTAATTAAATTTCTCCCAGACATATTTTCCAAAACTAGTACCTAATATTGAATATATTTACTAAGAACTGAAGTGTATTCCATGTAAAATAATTTTTAGACTGCAGTTTTCTGGTTTTCAACTAGCTAGTTGCTTTAGATCACAATTTTCCCTAAGGTATCTCTTTTTTTCTTCTAAAATGGGAATTTCGTTTACTTTATTGTACAATTTCTGTTTCTGAAAAGTGCACATATACTTAACCTAGTAAAATACAAAGAGCAAACTATATGTTCAGAAACCATTCTAGCATATATATTATATCTTTCTGAGATCCTTTTTGCTTACCTCATTTCTGTAAGGCTTAACATAAACTGTCCATTGATGAGTGTGACCATCTTCTTCTCGTTTCTTCCCAAAATAGCGTGCAACATTCCCATAAACTATAGGTTTTACAATAGTTACACCCTTCAAAAAAGTTTTTTAAAAAAGGCATATGAATAATTGAGAAACTTGTCACTTTTCAAAAAAGCATATTTTCTAGCACCCCACTGGCAGTTAGTAGCATTGTTTATCCTACTACATTTGTCTGTATAGACACATACAGCATAAGCATACAGTTCCTCCTTTTTGAGAGAGATATAATAGAGTAATTGAGACAAGAGTGGTTTCTTTCTTCGGTATTAGAAGCATTAGAAAAGGGAAATATATAGTAAATATCCTAAGAATTCCATGGCATTTGTAATGTAAACTTGGAAATCTCGTTGCAATTCTTATTATTCAGATTTTTCACTTGTATGAGGTTTTGCATTGTGTTGCTTGTAACTGAATATTTGGTTTTCACAAATCAACACATAAGATCCTAGATGTGTTCTTTTTTTTCAGGAATTCAAAGCTGTCTAGATCTAAATAAGATCTTGAATCAAGATTTAGCCAAAGTACGTAAATCTACTAAAATCAATAAAATTTAAGTTAATCATGGCTAACTTCTGTCACAGTGATTTCAATAGTTTTATTAAGTATAATTGTGTATAGATCCAAACCCAAACTATTCATTTTTTCCTTAAATTCTATTTAGAATACAGTACATCCAGATACAGTTTCCTTAATTCACCCAAGTACACATTTGATTTTCCCTTTAAAAAGTTAGTTCCAAAATAAAACATTGGCATAAATCGTACTGTTTACATATGGCAGTGTAAGCAGAATTGCATAAATCACATTGCTACTAGGTTAAGGAGTTGACATTGGTATTCCTTGCTGTTCTTGGCATTTGACTAGAGTGAACCTTTGGTCTAGATGGGCAGGTAGAAATCCAATAAAATAAATAAATAAATTTGACTAGGATGAGCATGGCAAAAACGTTTTCTTTTCAGGAGCCTGTACTGTTTTCATTTGCTTCCTGAATGAAACCGGGTGCAACATCATGTCTGATGAGTGGAGAAGCTTGTATTGAACACCGTTTTGTCTTTTTTGTCCCATTGCCACAGAAGGGATTTGAGACTTTGATTATATGAACGAGGATTTGGGCTGGAAGACGTGCAACTCCCTCAGGAGCCTCCCTTGAGCTTAATAAGGCTGGCTGACTACCAAGGCAGGAAGGAGGCAGAGGGACGACAGTCCCACCTGAGGAAGAGGTCTCATTGCCACAAAGGGTCACTCTATGCAGGTAGAATGGGAGAGAAGAGGGGGGTGGGCCTTGCCACTTTCCCCCATACAAAGCCGCAACCCTCGCACCGAGCTGCAATCCTATGCCATCCCTCTCCGTCTCCTCGGCACCTCCTCCTCCTCCTCGTCCCTCCCAAGTTTATGAAACACAACGGGACGCCGTGGCAGCGGAGCCCGGCACCTCCTCGTCGTCCTCCTCCTCCCTCCCAAGTTCATGAAACACAACGGGACGCCGTGGCGCGCGTGCGCGTGCTCCGACCTGTCCTGCCCCCACACCCCCCCACCTCCCGGGCAGTGCGGGGGCGGCGGCGGCGACCTCCTGACTTACCTTCACTCTCCCTCCAGAGTCAGGCCCGAACTCAGCCATTCTTTTGAACATATTGCACCGGAAGGGAAGGCTCTTCGCGCCGCTCTAGAGCAGCCAAACCGAGCTAGGGCACGAACTCCCCACCCCCATGTGCCCGCTCGGCTCAAGAGGCGACTGGTGAGAGGACGGGGGAGAGGTGGGGGTGGGAAGAAGAACGGCTCGCTTCTTCCCACCGACCCTTCGACTCTCAGCGGCGCGCATCAAACCTCCCTCCCTCTGCGCGCGCACACACAGCTACACACATACACACATATATACAAACAGAGAGACAACCGGCCGTTTTGCTCACAATAGCTTCCGGGTGAGAGGGACTCTCAAGTTTGGCGCGACTTCAGGCCTGGTGCTTCCCTTCCTCTTTCTCTCTCTCCCTCACTCCCGTCACAGACGCGAGTTCCTCAGGGATAACGAGTGGGCTTCCTGCGGCCTCGTGAACCGGAGGTGAAAAGGAGACAGGACGGGTGTGTTTGCTGCTGGCGGGTCATGCAGCTCACGGCCTCGGAGGCAGAGGGCGACCCGCGGGGAGCCTTTGGGCCTCCAGCGGTTTGGACTTGGGGCTCCCTGAAGCCCCAACTTGCCTGGCTGGTGCTGCCGGATTGTCGTTCAAATAGACTGGCCGCCGGTGGACGCTCCCTCGCACGGCTATTTTGGTAGGGGGGTGGGGATTCATAAACCGCCTTGGGTTATTGCCACCCCGTGCATACCTTCTGAGAAAATAGGGTTAGTATTGGTTTACACGCTGTTTCCATTGTTGATGCGCACAACACAAGCTCTTAAAGGTTACACCACTAAGCAATCCTGTTTCACTTTCTAAATATGTCCAATCGTTTTCTAAGCAATCACCCAGTTTGAGACTGTAGTACAGTACTCCCTGGTTTATTAGCAGTTTGACTCCATGTGCGGTTAATTGGTAGTATGGTTCCGAATTCGAGACCTCCACTGACAAGAATGTTGTTTAGTCGTGTCCGACTCTTCGTGACCCCATGGACCAGAGCACGCCAGGCCCTCCTGGCTTCCACTGCCTCCCGGAGTTGGGTCAAATTCATGTTGGTTGCTTCGATGACACTGTCCATCCATCTCGTCCTCTGTCGTTCCCTTGGGATAAACTCAATAAAGCAAGAAATTGGAGCTCCAGTCGTGAATGACTTTTTTTTCCCCAAGGGAAGACCAGTTCCATAACATAATCCATGGGTTTGAAATGGTAGAGCAGTAGGTATCTTAATGCCCGTTTTTCCTTATTAATACAGAAAGACACCTTAAAATCTAACAGGTTTTATTTGGCATATTTGTTAATCTCTAAACTGCTACAAGAATTCTTGGCAATTTTTGCTTCAACAGATTAACAGTTTATATCGTCAGGTTATTTGTAATCTGCAGAAATCCAATGAATACAGTAAATGACTCCCAAAAGGTCCTGTTATTTTTCTGCTCAGGTCTCACAAACTAAAAGCAAGTTCCCTCTTGGGAGTCAATACATCTTACATGCATACCTATTTTCTTAGGTCTTCTTGTGCTATGAATTACCAAAGATAGCCCTAATTTAGCTTCTAAGAAGAGCTCCCACTTCATTTGATCTAGAATGTATTTATTTGTCTCTGACAGTCTGCTTTACCCATGAAAGTCCTCCGTCAACCATATTTCAGCTGAGTCCTTTTTTCTTGTTTTCTTCGCTACTTTTTAATTTTCTCTCACATCCTTACATAGTCTCAGGAACACATTAGTACTGGGGCAGACCAGATTCTAGCTAAGACAAATAGTATGAGTGAAGATAAGCAATTTTGTTAGCTGCACACGGAGTTCTATTTATCTTCCCATCAAGAAGATACCTTCTTAATCCAATCTTCTCCAACCTAGCACCTTCCAACAGTCCCAATCAGTACAAACAGGACTTGTATCTGGGGATATTGGGAGTTTGTCAGAACATCTGGTAGGTATCAGATGTTGACAGCAATTCCCATCATACGCTTACAGTTACCTAATGAAAAAGTTTAATAATTGCAAATATGATAGATTCAACAGTGTACAACATACTTGTTATGATAATGCAACTCAGCAGCTTTAAGGAAAATATTTAATTTTAAATTATTTATCTGCCCATTACAGTGGAACCTCTACTTACGAACTTAATCCGTCCCATAAGATGTTCATTAGTTGAAACGTTCATAAGTAGAAGCAAAATTTCCCATAGGAATGGATTGAAAACCATTTAATCCGTATCTGCTGTTTTTCGTTCTTAAATTGAGGCACTGTTCTTAAGTCGAAGCATTAGTTCCCATAGGAACTAATGCAAAGCTGGTTAATTGTTCCTCTACCACTAGGGGGAGAATTTTTCTTCTTTTGACCTAAGATGAACTTAGGTCAAAAAAAGGGCAGGAAAGGAGGGAGGGAACACCTTTAAACAGAACACCTTTTTAAAAAGCCACAGAATCCAACAAGCATTATTCCAGCACAGAACTCCTAATCACAAAAAGAGAGCATTGGGGTGGGTGGGTTTAGACACTTGAGTCTAAACTCCATTTTAAAACCTGCTTGCACCAACAATCAACAACCATTATTCTAGCATGGAACTCCTCATCATAAAAAAAGAGCCGGGGGGGGGGGGGGGAGAGAGAGACTTGAGTCTAAATGCTATTTTAAAGCCTGCTTGCCTGCATCTACAACCACCACAGCCCCTCACAGAATATTTTCTGATTTTAAAACAGACTTTAGAGCCACATTTTAACCGCATACATTTTAAAACTAAAATCTACACCCATCAGAGCACAGAAACATAACACCCCACCTAGCCTTGCCCCCCCACCAAGCTGTAAAAAAACTGTACAGTACAGTAAATACAGTGTACTCACCCAGAACAGGCAGTCTCTGTGTTTTAAAAAAGTCAAAAAATCCAAAAATAAAAGCAAAAAAAGAAGTCTGTACAGTACCAGGCAATCTGAAGTTTCTTTCAGTATCCACACACTCTAACCACGGGGACGAGCGATGTAGCAGGCAAGCAGCCTCTTTGCTGGCGGACGGTTAACTGAAAGTTCAAATTTCCCACCTTCCCCACGTTTTTTCTGTTCTTAAGCAGAAATGTTCGTAGGTAGGGACATTTGTAAGTAGAGGTTCCACTGTAATTGTTTGAATTCCAATATGATCAACTTCTGCCTGGAGCGTATCAGTTCCTTCAGGCAAAAATGCTGAAAGACCCTATAGTCTGTGGGCCAAAGGCCTAACTAATGGCTCTAGTTGTATAATCTGGAGTGAATAAGCAAAGTTAAGAAAAAAAAATTCAGCTGGTTCAGTCGTAGTCCAAATCAGCAGAGAGCAGAAACAAAATAGCACGAGGTGACTATTCTGAGGGAAATGTATGTAGAATAGTTACAATGTTTGATGGCTCTAAACTGCAGAAGTGAGATTTTTTATACTTCTTGGACTTTAGCCCCCAGAATTGAGGAATTCCCTCAACCAGAATTCTGGAAGGTTTAATTTTTAAAAATAGGAAGTTTCAACACGTGTTTGCTAGTATTTACAGCTGGTTCATTAAGACTCCAGTAATCATCTATGGAGAAGACAGGGGAAATTGGTGGGTCAGGCAAGCTCTGTAAGAGTGGCAAGGGAAAGGGTCAGCTGATGAGGCACCCTCTGCAGTTTGATAATCAGAGAATAATCTTCAGAGACTAACTCCCTGCAGCTTTGATTTCTTGATTAAAGGCCCCAAAATTATGGCTGGAGGAATTCCTGCTGAATTCTGCAGGCTGAATTGAAAGAAATACAAAAACTTATGCTTACTTAGCAGAAGCCATTGAAAAAACTGGCCTCTATCACCAATCTACGCAGATACAAATTGCTATATGTTCTTATCTCTCAATCTCCAAGATTTGTACTGTAACTTGTCAAATAAGAACTTCATATTTCACTCCCTTATTGCATAACTACCACAGTACACTTCAATCATATCCAATAAAAAATCATATTCACATCAAAAGAATGCAAAGAAGATTTCAGTTTTTATTAAAATTCACTTTATTTTTCTCCAATACAAGGAAACTCCTTTTGCAGTTTAATGACCAATAAATGGCTGGGCAGCCAAATCCTAACAGTCACCTAAAGACTGGAAAGAAAGGTAATTAATATAATCAAAGAATTTAAAAGTATAGAAGTCAAATGTATTTTGATAAGCCAAATGTAGAAACAGATTTGCATTTTTGTTTTTTTTTAAACCACATAAATGCAACAGGTCATCCTCTTACCTTTTGAAGATATTTAAGTGTGCAGAAACTCAACACTATCAAGATGTTCTTTATGCCACCATGTATCGGAATGCTAGTACTGATTTTAAATGAATAGCTTTATATTCACTAGTGATTTCAAACACTAATGAATATAAAAGTATCATGTAGCAACAGTGCTTACGATATGCAAAATACAATGCTTTGTTTGAATGTACGCATTTGGGTAAAATGTAACAGCAAAATCCAAACTAAGATAACGTAAAAAGTTTAAGCTTGTTCCACAGGCACTGGAAAAAAATACTGACAAAAATAAAATTTAAATCTTTTAATTTGCAATGATTAGATTTAATAAATTCTATTAAATTCAGAACATCACCTAAAAACAAGGAACACTTAAAATTATTATTTAATAAATTTATATATGACTTAGCTATCTAAAATGGTATACGCAGATATTATGCTGGACTCATCAACACAGAGTGCAAGATTACTGGTGGTATAACAGCATTTGGTCCAGGTTCATTTCCAGGGAAAACAACTGTGAACAACTAGAAAGGGAAACTTGCAGCCCCAGCACTCTATACTGCCTTCAACTTCATACAATTCTTTGGATACTGCAGGTTCCTTGCTTGCTCTCTGAACCACAGCACTGGAAATTGCTACATTGTCTTTGTGTTTTCATGTGTGTGTATGTCCATGTGAACAAATATGACAAAAGTAGTAATAAAGGACTGCATGACACTAAGATGTGTGCTTTCCTGCATACAGCTGCTTTTGGCACTGGTTCTCCACACCAGCAGTTGGAATTGCATTCCACTCCCAAATCCAAAAGTCAGTGGTCCTTCACAGAAAAAAAAAGGTCCTCTGTGTGTAGCATGCTACTTTCACTGGTCAGAACTCTGCTGCTTTACACAACTGTATAAGGGCACTCATATAAATGATCTGATCTGTTTTCTGGGCTGTCTGCTGCACACCTGGGTTTCTCTAATTCCACAATTAACTACATGCCTGGTCATGCACTTAAGAATGCAATGGGCATCCTG